AGTCTCCCCCTCCCCCCAAAAGACTAGAGCTTCCTTCTTCCCATCCTGCTGGCTGTCACCTTCATGAGGGCAGGAGTGACCGGTGGAGGGTAAGGCCTCTGACCTGTCACCAAGCCTGCCTTGGAGGCCCTGCCTCATTCAAGTTCTGCTGGCGGTTCCAGGCCCGGGGCTCTGCTCTTCCGCCTGGCCAGCTATCGCTATGTCTGCCATGAAGAGCTATCTATCCATGAGCATAGCGCCCTGTTCCCAGATGCCTTCGCCATCTCCTGCTTGCTTTGGAAACAGGCTAAAACCCACTAAGGCACTGAAGTTGTAGCCAGAGAAGCAAAGAGCTTTTGAAAATTCCCTTCCCCCCATTCCCAGGATCAGCCTCCTCCTAAGATGGGCATACTTGGCCTTAGACTTAGCCACCCCACTGTTCCCTCTAGTGACTCCTCAGGACTATAGTAAACACCATGGAGTATAGGAAGGACACTAAGAATGTTTTGGTACCCAGGGACCCCCATGCTCCTACATAGCAGCTGCCTTTATCAGAGGCATTGGGACTCTGATCAACTAGCTGAACTTGCAACTTGCATCCAGTCCATTGGAGCTCCTCTAGCAGAGGTATTTCATTGGAATGGAACAGTGTTTGCTGAGAGATGTGTGGCCAGCATAAAAATGGAGAATGAGCAATGTTAGAAAATCAGTGCCCAGGACATCTGTAATTTTCTGGATTTCTTAACATAAAAGAGATATCTTATGCCAGTTTATCAAGCAGTTTGTGGTTTTTGCCCTATTTGTGTTTTAAATAACTAATTTGCATTTCCAAGTAAATGTAGACCTTTTCCTCTTCTGGGCAGTTCTGGGCAGAGTTTTAAATGATTTGTTTAAATGTGAGACTGAAATTTAATAGTTTATGATAACCAATGTGCATGTATTTCCCCCCCAAATGTGTGTTAGTAAACTTTGTAGCTCACAGATGTGTAAGATGAAACTGTTACATCATCATAACCCTTGTTTTAATCTTGGCAAGAAATGATCTGTCCTGTGGGAACTGTCTGGATTAGCTGTTAAATAGGGAAGATCCTTTCAACTTAGTTCACCCTGACACCCCGGTCCCCCCAGTGAGGTTGGCCTTCCCAAAGGTGTTTCTGTGATTCTGTTTCCCATTGATGGAGTGCAATATTTGGATTTTGTTTTGACCAGCATGGGGAAATTAACAATGACTATTTTAATAGTCTGTATTTCTGTGAAAGTAAGGACTTGGCAACATTTTCATATACTCTAAGCCCCCTTCTAAAGAGAGGAAGAATAAAATAGATCAAAGCAAATGTGAGAGGAGGATGCTCTCTCTTGGGTCAGATGGAGGGCAGACTCAAAAGTTAGGAGGTGGGATAGGCTGTCATTAACTTAGTGGTGGGGATCCAGGAACAGCTATTCACACTTTGCCCATGGATGGTGGGAGGAGAGAACTAAAATAGTTCTTGAATACAGGCTATGCAGGCATGTTGGAGAGCTGGAAATTCTCTCTAAATTAGCATTCAAAAGGGTAAAAAAGGCACTGATGTGTGCAATGTGTTTGGGAGTGCTGGATAAGTCACAGTGACATAGAGCTGACAAGCAAGACTGGGAGGAGAAGACTCTGGGACAATAGTTAGACACACATTTTCTTGTAAGATAAAGACTAGCAGGCTCATATCGATTCTCACACACAAACAAGATCTAAATAAAGGACTGTCCTTCCACAGTGTTCTGTTCCATAACAAATGCTTTAAAGAGCTTTTAGAGCACATTTTGGCACCCGTACCCGGACTTTCTCCTCCGTTGGCTGTGCACTATCAGATGTACAAACGTGGAAGGTATCCTGTGTTGGGGCTGAGTTCTAGGGGTCAGGTGCTTGTGTGCTTTGTAAGTAGAAGAAAAAGTGGAAGATTTGTCTTCTGTCAGTGGAGGAAAGATCAGGGTCTGAGAAGTTGCCTTTTGTGTCCTCTTTTCTGACTCCCATCATACCTGCAAATAAGCTTCACGGAATGTCTTTATCATTAGACATGAAACTGTCAAGCCAGTTAGAATCCCAGGTTATTATAGTTAAAAGAGATCTTCAGGCCTTCAGGCCCCTCTCCCCTCCTGAATCAGACCCAGTATGTGGGTCCCTCTTCTAGGATGGGAACGGAGCCCCTTCCCAGGCAGCCCACTTCAGTTACTCTTCCTTGCAGAGAGGCCTGTTTTTTGGTGATTAGAACTGGGTTCATCTCATGCCCATGTGTGCAACTTGTCCCTCTGACGGATTCTTCTTCCTTCATGTAATACATAGTCAGGTGGTGGAGGATGCCCAGGTCCATAGTTTATTTCCTGGCTAAGACGTCTCCAGATGCTTCAGTTGTTGCCATACATGACAGACTTTGCTGTACTGACTGCTCCACTGGACATGTCTCTTCAGCATGGCACCCAGCACGCAGCCTGCAGGCCCTGTGTCTTCTAACCAGGAGGAAGGAAGAATGGACACTGCCTCCATGCCTGAAGCCTACAGTTGATGCATTAGGCTTTTAGCACATGCTTCTCTTTGGAGACCACAGTCACCGAACCTTTATGGGATTATACTATGCCAGGGCTTTCTCAGCCTACGCTTGTGTGACATGTTGCACAAGAGAGGTTTCATCTGAATAGTTTTTGAGTTATTAGATCTCTCCTATTAGGATCTTTTTTATTTCTGTTTTTGCCTTGGTCCTTGGTATTTGTTATCTGTTCCAGAACTTGTCATGCCTTCAAAATAACAACAACAACAAAAGCAACAATAATAATACCAAGTTTATTTTGTGTAGCCCTATGAAGTTTCAAAACCTTTGACATATATTTCCTTTCATTAAGAATGTTGAGTAATCTGAGGCCAGTCTTAACACTGAGCATTTCTTTGGAGTTTAAATCAGTGGATGTGAGCACACTTGAGTGGGCTGAGGCCCAGTGTTCAACTTCCTGATGTCACTTATAGTTCTGTATTATATCTCCCAGTCATGTTGGAAGATATTGTCAGTGCCTTCCTGAAAAGAAAAGCCTAATAAATTCCTGCAGAGTCGCTCAGGGGACATTTCTGGGGGAACTGAGGCGGGAGGAGGGGTTGCTTGGCCTCCTTGTCCCTCACCAGCAGTGCCTGTGCTGCCCAGCGGCCAGGTACTTCTGAGATTTTACTCAGCCAGGTAAAAACATCAACCCTGCTGATTCTAAAATATTTTTCTTAATAACTTGCATAGTTTATTCCGCATCATTCTGAGTGAACTCTTACTGGTTTCTAATGCTCACCACTTACTTTGAATAATTACTAGAATTTTGCAAAAAGTCAATGTCAGCTAAACTTTCTAAGCTCCGTTCTTTTTCTGTAAATGAAGTTTGGGATGCTTGTCTATCTCCAGTCATCTGCTGTTTCTTCTGTTCTCCATGAATTCTCAAAGATTGCTAGCTTTTACTCTGTAAGGACACCTGAGAGTTGTTTAAATATCCCGAGAAGTAATTTGTATTCTTTTTCTGGTACTCAAGACAATAAAGTGACTCAGTACAATTTAATTAGGATTAAAAATAATACAATTTAATTGCGATAGTAATATTTAAAAAAGAACCCACTGTTAGGTCATGCTAATGGTGTTTTAATTATTTCGTGTAGTATATACAACACAACAGGGAACATCTTTATGCATACCTATTTTTAGAAATTGACTAATAAAAAATGCATGCATGTGGTATGGAAAGCAGATGGTAGGGTAACATTTCTTGCCATCTCTGCCTCCAGTTTCACTCTTCAGAAGCAACCATGGTTACCAGTTGCTAATGTATCCTTCCAGAAATATTCAAAGTATATTTTCATTTATATATTTTTCTCTCACAAACAGTAACATTATATACACTGTTCTATGCCCCCTTTTTTGCCTATATTAGGAATGGATGCATAGAGAGCCCCTAATTCTTTTCTGTGTCTGCACAGTATTCCATTGTGTGATTGGGTCATAATTTATCTAATTAGTCACCTAAAAGGGGGGCATTTAGGTGGTCTCCAGTCTTGGCTAATATACAATATAGAATGAAATCCTGGCACCAATGAAATTCTTAGCAGTGGAGAGTCAAAGTGGGCTGCATTTTTATTTTGCTAGATGTTGTCAAAGTGCTCTCTACAGAGATCTTACTAAAAGTTACACTTCCATCAGGGATGTGTGAGGTGCTCTTCCTCCCTGCAATCCTTCCTGGGCCAGGGAGTTAACCACATTGCTAAATGTCTCCTGGCTGGATATGCAAGAAGTTGTATTTGGTCATGGGTATGGACTTACATTTGTCTTGCTTTGAGGGGGTTAAATATCTCCCTGAAGTTGGTTGAGCCATTGTGTTTCCTTGTCTTTGAACTGTCTCTCCATGTTTTGGCTTCATGTGTATGCATGTTGGGGAGTGTTATTTTCTTACTGATTTATAGACATACTTTATGCACAAAGTCAGTTAACCCTTTTGGATGTCTTGTAAATAAATGCTTTTCCCTGGTTTGTTGTTTGACTTTTGATTGTGTTCATGGTGTTTTTGTTAGGCAGAAACTTTGGGTTTGGATAGCGTCAAATGAATTAATCCTTTCTTTTTAGTAGTTTCTGGATTTT